TTTAGTGGGATTCAACCATCATGAGGCATGTAGTTCCCTTGGTTTAGAAGAAGTCAAAGTTCAGTAAGTGGGCTGTAGCTTAGCTTTTTGGCCATGCTAGATTTATTCCAGGTCAAAGAACTGCTTATAAAAAAAGCATAGCTGATGAAATGATTCGGTGCTCGAAGATGTCAGACTGTAGAATCTCTACGGGTAAGTGTGTGATTTCTTCAGTGACATCACATTTGCCTGCAGAGATTTTCCAGTCTGCCACTTTGAAGTTGTATTTAAGATGGAAAAAAGTTGTTGTCATTTTACAGTGATCTTTCTTGTCTTGCTAAATTTTAAAACTATATTTATTCAAGGTTAAAATTGGATGGTAAGTAGGAGTTATAGTTGGGATTCAGATAGGTGCATAAATGAGAATGGATACTCCCTAATTTTGCCGCACATATCCATAGAGAATGAAGGAAAAGATGAAAAGTGAAGTTTCCCAAGCCACAACCAGTGGATGAGACTAGTATACCTTGGTCATGGAAGAAAGACTAGGCTTCTTATGCCATCATTCATTTTTTTTTTCCCTCAAATTATGCTGTTTGTTTCATATGTGCTTATTTTTACCAGTGTTTTAGTTACACTAAAAGCCTTATGGTCAATCCAGGTAAATATCCTTTCATTTCAAGCAACTTTATCTCATGTTAGACTTTGCAGTTGAGTTTCTCAGTCTTTTGTAATTTAGTTATGCCTAAGTAATAACAAGATTAGATGAGTAGAATGAGGAGATGTGCTTTTTACTTTTATTGTCTCCATCTTTCTTCTGCCTAATAATGGTCTTATGGTAATACCATCACCTGCTGCTAATCTTTAAAGTGCTGGAATAATGCATAATACGCAATATTTACTTTAGAGCTCAAAAATCTAACTTGTGAATATTGTGATATTATTAACACTACAATGTCGGGTTTTGGGACAATGTCAACTATAAATTTATTTCATCATTTTCCTAGAACAGGGACTTTATATATTTTGTTATCTTCTATATCCCAGCACATAGAATAATTCCTGGCCTATAGTAGGTACTCAATAAACATTTATTAATGATTGGCTATTACTTAGGATGTTTTTTGCAAATGCTTGTTTACCATTAGAAAGGAAATATATATATTCACATAGTGTATTGATGTTAGAGTGACATTTAATTTCAGACAAGATAAAATGAGAGAATATTTAAATATGTAAATCTTGGTAATAAAGAATCCTACAGTAAAATGCATTATAATAAAATGTTTTTTGTAATACTTGGTTTAGGAGTAGATTAATAACTTCCTTCAAGTATAACAATGTTATATTATCTTTTTCAGGCATGTAGTTGAATTTCAGATGATGAGTTTTTTAGTCCTGGGTTACATCCAAATTTATGTAATAATGAATCACAAAATTAGGGTTGATTATGTTTATACTACACAACACAGTGTCTTGATTATCTGTTAATCTGCTATATACACATCCTTGGACCTCAAGATGACTTTAAAAGCATCCTCTCAATTGCATTCTGACTTTCCTAAATAAACCATAAATAGAAACTTAACATTAAGTCTCTCATAAGTGTGCAGAGGATATAACAGGTGGCCCTGATCTGATGTAAGTGTAGCTAAAATAATGTGTTGAAATAATTGTAGCTTAGAAAGATAGAAAACATCTGGGCTTCAAGGGAGAACATTTCCATCCTTTTTGCTGCTTTTAAAAATAGAGAACTACATCATTCTGGGTTGCATAGAAAGAATGGTCTTGTGTTAGAAACTCTATGATCCTCAGTCTGTTCATCTAAAGCTCCAAAGGATGAGACTAGTATACCTTGGTTATGGAAGAAACACTAGGCTTCTTATGCCATCATTCATTTTCTTTTCTCAAATTATTATTTTTGTTTATATGTGCTTGTAGGGCCTGATTAACAGTGTCACTTGTTCTCTTGAAGGAAAATTGAATTTGTGAATGATGGAATTATGGTTGCCATTTCTTTAATGTTGAAAAACATCTCACCAAAGGAGATATAGTAAGTAGCATATGAAAGGTTTTCAATATTGTATGTCATTAGGGAACTGAAAATTAAAATGAGGTACCACTGAACACCTAAGAGAGTGGCTAAAATCCAGAACACCGACAACACCAAATGCTGATGAGGATGTGGAGCAACAGGAACTCTCAGTAGTCATTGCCAAAGGGAATGTAAAATGGTACAGCCACTGTGGAAGACCGTTCCACAGTTGTTGATATCTTGTTTGTTTCTTTGCTCCACTGGAAGGCATGAATGGAGCAGAGCTTTGAGATAGAATCCTCATTTTAGTTGCCTCTATGAGTAGGCTGTTTAGAGGCAGCCAGCCTATTAATATAGGGCTCTTGTTAGTTTAAGCACTTAGGTAGAAAAAGATCCCTCTATAAATGCAAATTTTTAATATCTAAGCGTTATCTGCCCTTAACATTAGTACAGATGAATTTATAAGATTATTTCTAGCAGACAGTAAAGATCTGAAAAAAAAAATTGAACAGTACAGTTACATTTTAAAAGATCAGAGGCCAAGATCTACCCAGTGATCCTTAACCCTGGCTGTACATCAGAAACATTTTGGATTTATGGAGAAGACAGATTTCCAAGCCCCAACCAAGACCTCCTGAACCTGAACTTACAAGATGTGGACTTGAAAAGTCTCTTTAAAAAAAAAAAATACTAAACTTTATTTTTTAGGGCAGTTTTAGATTCACTCAAGATTGAGTTGAAAGTATAGAGAGTTCCCATATACCCTATCCCCATCCATGTACAATCTCCCCTACTAATGACATCCCCCACCATAGTGATAACATTTGTTATGATGGATGAACCTACATTGACACATCATTATCACCCCCAGATTCGGAGTTTACATTAGAGTTCATTCTTGGTGTTCTCTGTGTTTTGACAAATGTATAATGATATGTACCCACCACTGTAGTATCATGCAGAATAGCTTCAGTGCCCTAAAAATCTTCTGCCTATCCATCTCTTCCTCTCCTCTAACCCATGGTACCCACTGAGGTTTTTATTGTTTCCATAGTTTTTGCCTTCTCCTAAATGCCATATTGTTGGAATCATATAGCATTTAGCCTTTTCAGATTGACTTATTAACTTGGTAATATACATTTACATTTCCTCTATGTCTTTTCATGGCTTGCTGGCTCATTTCTTTTTAGTGCTGAACAATATTCCTTTGTCTGGATGTATCACAGTTTATTTATCCATTCACCTACTGAAAGACATTTTGGTTTCTTCCAAGTGTTGGCAATTATGAATAAAGCTGCTGTAAACATCCATGTGCAGCTTTTTGTGAGGGCATGTTTTCAACTCCTTTGGGTAAATACCTAGGAGCATGATTGCTGGATTGTATGGTAAAAGTATGTTTAGTTTTTAAAGAAACTGATGAACGGTCTTCCACAGTGGCTGTACCATTTTACATTCCCTTCAGCAATGACTACTGAGAGTTCCTGTTGCTCCACATCCTCATCAGCATTTGGTGTTGTCAGTGTTCTGGATTTTAGCCACTCTCTTAAGTGTTTAGTGGTACCTCATTTTAATTTTCAGTTCCCTAATGACATACAATATTGAAAATCTTTCATATGCTACTTACTATATCTTGTTTGGTGAGATGTCTATTCGGGTATTTTGCCCATTTTTTGGGTTCATTTTGTTATTGTTGAGTTTTAAATGTTCTTTGTATATTTTAGATAACAATCCTTTATCAGATGTGTTTTTTTTGCAAATATTTTCTCCCAGTCTATGGCTTATCTACTCACAATCTCTTAACATAATCTTTTCCAGAGCAGAAGTTTTAAATTTTAATGAAGCCCACCTTATCAATTATTTCTTCCATAGGTCATGCCTTTGGTGTTATATCTAAAAAGTCAATGCCATACCAAAGGTCATCTAAGTTTTCCCTTGTGTTATCTTCTAGGAGTTTTATAGTTTTGCATTTTGTATTTAGGCCTGTGAACCACTGAGTTACTTTTGTGAAGGATATAAGATTTGTGTCTAGATTATTATTATTATTTTTTGCATGTGGATGTCCAGTTGCTCTAGCACTATTTCTTGAAAAGACTCTTTGCTCCATTGTGTTGCCTTTGCTCCTTTGTCAAAGATCAGCTAACCATGTTTGTGTGGGTCTATATCTAGGCCCTCTATTATGTTCCATTATTCTATTTATCTGTTCTTTCATCAATACTACACTGGCTTGATTACTGTAGTGATATAGTAAGTCTTGAAGTCAGGTTGTGTCAGTCCTCCAATTTTATTCTCCTTGAATAATGAGTTGGTATTCTGGATCTTTTGCCTCTGCACATAAATTGGTTTGTCAATATACACAAAATCACTTTCTGGGATTTTGATTGGGACTTCTTTGAATCTATAGTTCAAGTTGAGAAGAACTGACATCTTGACAAAATAGTTTTCTTACCCAGGAACATGGACTATCTCTCTATTTAATTCTTCCTTGATATCTTTCATCAGAGTTTTGTAGTTTTTCATATAGATCTTGTACATCTTTCGTTAGATTTATGGTTGAGTATTTCATTTTTGGGGTGTTAATATAAATGGCAATGTGTTGTTAATTTCAAATTTCATTGTTCATTGCTGGTATACAGGAAAGTGATTGACTTTTGTATATTAACCTTATATCTTGCAACTTGTGCTGTAATTGCTTATTTCCAGGAGTTTTTTTGTTGATTATTTTGGGCTTTCTATATATATGATCATGTCATTTGTGAACAAAGAGTTTTATTTCTTCTTTCCCAATCTGTATATTTTCTATTTTCTTTTCTTGTTTTATTGCATTAGCTGTAACTGCCAGTATGGCATTAAAAATTAGTGGAGAGAATAGACATTCTTGTCTTATTCTTGATCTTAGTGGGAAAGCTTTGAGTTTCTCACCATTAAGTATGATGTTTGCTGTAGTTTTTTTGGTAGATATTCTTTATAAGTTGAGGAAGTTCCTTTCTTTTTTTTTTTTTTAATTAGAAAAAGTATTTATTTCTGCTCCTTTCATTCCTCTTATTGTTCAGGAAACAGTCTTACATACATATCTGAAATAATCTACCATCACACACTCTAGTTAAAGGCAAAGCACCACAGGTAAAGCTGATCAGCTGTCCATAGTTCTCAGCTTATGGAATCTTGCTTCTGGATTTTATGTTAATTTCTGAAAATCAGAAATGTCATCTCCAAAAAATGTTAAGGGGGTTGTAAAAAACAGTCACTTTATTTGATATTATAGTTGTAGATATTGAGTATATTTTCTTTAAGAAATGAAAAACTAAAAAGAAAATGCCACTCAACATTGTTGGTATAGCAATAGGTCAGCAGAAAAAAAAAATACTGCGATAAACTTGTCTCTTTAATACCAAGAAGAAATTCTAGTGCAAGCTTCAATACGCTTCCTGTTTTTTCACTAGATATTTCTTTTACTGCTGCTCTTCATTCTTTTCCACATGTCATACTGGAGGATTGGTACAGCCTTTAAAACTTCATTGACAGGAGCAAATCCAGTATCCACTGATTTCTTCTCAAAGGCACTCTAACCCATCAGATAGCCCCTGTAGGCCAAGAAAGCTACTGGCCTCTGATGCCCATGTTCATCAGTCATAGAGCCAACACTTGGAGGTTCAACAATAACATCATAAATTATTCCTCCGGTAATGAGGAAGTAAGACACCACCACCAGAGCATACACAGTCATGGCCGACGGCATGTGCAACCAGGGCGGCTTCTTCAGCTTCAGGTTGGGACATTCGAGCACTAAGAACGGGACACGGTACAAGGTCTCCATGTTGGTGGCAGCAAGGGCCGTTCTCCGAGGAAGTTCCTTTCTATTCCTAGTTTGCTGAGTTTTTTTTTTTTTTAACCATAAATAGGCATTGCATTTGTCAAATACTTTTTCTGCATCCATTGGTATGATAATGTGATTTTTCTTATTTAGTTTTTTGATACGCTAGATTACATTAATTTTCAAATGTTGAACCATCCTTGCATACCTGGGATAAATCACATTTAGTCATGGTGTATAATTGTTTTTATACATTGTTGAATTTGACTTGCTAATATTTTGTGGAGGATTTCTGCATCTCTGTTCATGAGAGGCATTGGTCTGAAGTCTTTTTTGTAAAGCCTTTGTCTGATTTTGGTATTAGGGTAATGCTGGCCTCATGGAATGAGTTAGGAAGTATTCCCTCTGTTTTTATTTTCTAAAAGAGATTGTAGAAAACTAATATAATTTCTTCTTTAAATGTTTGGTAGAATTCATGAGCAAGCTTATCTGGGGCTTGTGCTTTCTGTGTTGGAAGGTTATTAATTGTTGATCTAATTTAACTAATAGATATAGGCCATTCACATTGTCCATTTCTGTTTGTGTGACTTTTGGCAAGTTGTGTCTAGGAATTGGTCCGTTTAATCCAGATTATCAAATCTGTGGTCATAGAGTTGTTCATAATATTCTTTTATTATCCTTTTAATGCCCATGGTATCCGTATGATGTCCTCTACTTCATTTCTGATATTAGTACTTATCATTAAGATATTAGTCTTATATTTTTTTTCTTATTTAGCCTGGCTAGAGATTTATCGCTTTTACTATCTTTTCAGAGAACCAGCATTTGGTTTTGTCGAATGTTTCTATTGATTTCCTGTTTTCAATTTCATTGGTTTCTGCTTTAATTTTTATTTTTTTCTGCTTTCCTTGGATTTAATTTGTTTTTTTTCCTAGTTTCCTAAAGTAGAAGCTTAGATTATTTATTTCAGACCTTTCATCTTTCATAATATATGCATTCAATGCTATAAGTTTCCCTCTAAATGGTACTTTCACTGCATTCCACAAATTTTGATAAACTGTATATTTTAAATTTCTCTTGAGATTTATTTTTTGACCCATATGTTATTTAAAAGTTGGTTAGTCTCTTAAGTTTTTTGAGCTTTTCCAATTATCATTCTGTTATTGATATTTAGTTTAATTCCATTATGTTCTAACAGCATACCTTGTATGATTTCTATCCTTTTACATATTTTAAGATGTATTTTATGGCCCAGAGAGTATTCTGTCCTGGCAATTATTCCATGTGAGCTTGAGATGGATGTGTAATATGTTGTTGGATGAAATAATCTATGGATGTCAATTATATCCCATTGATAGATGGTGTTGTTGAGTTCAACTATGTCTTTACTGATTTTCTGCCTATTGGATCTGTCCATTTCTGACAGTGGTAAAGTCTCCAATTATAATAGTGGATATATCTGTTTCTCCTTGCATTTCTATCAGTTTTTGCTTCACTTACTTTGGTGCTCTGTTGGGTGCATACATGTTAACAATTGTTAGGTTGTTTTAGAGGATTGACCCCTCCATCATTATGGAATATCTCTCTTTATCCCTCCTAACTTTCCTTGTTCTGAAGTTGGCTCTCTCTGAAATTAATATAGCTACTCTTCCTTTTTTAAAAGCAGATTTTCTGCTTTCTTTTGATGAATATTACATGGTATTTTTTTCTTCATACCCTTACTTCTAAACTTTTTTTTTTTTTTTTGAGGCAGAGTTTTGCTGTTGTTGCTCAGGCTGGAGTGCAATGGTGCCATCTCAGCTCAATGCAAGCTCCGCCTCCCACATTCAAGCGATTCTCCTGCCTCAGCCTCCTGAGTAGTTGGGATTACAGGTGCCCGCCACCACACTCAGCTAATATTTTGTATTTTTAGTAGAGATGGGGTTTCACTACATTGGCCAGGCTAGTCTCAAACTCCTGACCTCAGGCGATCCACTCACCTCAGCCTCCCAAAGTGCTGGGATTACAGGTGTGAGCCACCGCGCCTGGCTTACTTTTAATCTTTATGTGTCTTTATATTTAAAGTGGGCTTCTTGTATACAACATGTAGTTGGGTCTTGTTTTTTAATCCACTCTGACAATCTCTGTCAGTTAATAGGCATATATAGACCATTGAAGGTTAAAGTGATTATTATTATAGTTGGATTATTATGTAATATATTTTTTATTGTATTCTATTTGTTCTTCTTGCTCTTCATTCCTATTTTGTCTTCTACACTTGTTCTGCTTTTGTAGTTTTAATTGAGCATTTTATATGATTTCATTTTCTGTTCTTTCTTAGGACATGTCACATTAAAAAAAAATTTAGTAGTTTTTCCCCAACCTTTACAGTAGACATTTACAATGAATTCAAGTCCAATTAACAATGTACTGCTTTATGAGCAGTGCAGGTACATTATAATAACAAAATATTCCTAACTCTTCTGTTCTGTCTTTTGTATCATTGCCATCATTCATTCACTTACATATAAACATACATTAGCATATATATGTATGTTTATGTGTGTGCACATATATATAAAACATAAGTGTACATAATTGAATATATCATTGCTATTATTTTGAACAGTTTTGTGTTAAATCAATTAAGAATAAGAAAAATAAAAGTGTTAATTTACTTTTACTGATTCATTCTCCATTGCCCCTTTCTTTATGTAGATCTGAGTTTCTAACCTATATAATTTTCTTTTGTTCTGAAGAACTTCTCTGAAGAGTTTCTTGCAAGGCAGGACTACTTGCCAACAAATACTCTCAATTTTTTCCTGAGAAAGTCTTTATTTCTTGTTTACTTTTGAAGGATAATTTCACAGTGTAAAGAGTTCTAGGCTGGTAGTTTTTATCTCCATAGTTTAAATATTTTACACTACTCTCTTCTTGCTTGCATGTTCTGAGGAACAGTCAGGTGTAATTCTTATTTTTGCTTCTCTATAGGTAACGTGATGGACCCACTATGTCTGGGTCCTCCTAAGTTTTTAATTCTCAAACTTGTCCACACTGATCTTCTAGCAATTGCAGTTCTGGTTTTCTAACTCTGGCACTGGCTCCTGAGAAAGAGACTGCTCATAGACTTCTGCTCCAGTAAGTTGTGATTCTCTCTATTTGTCTGTCTCTCCAATTTGGGGGACAGTGATTTGTCCTGTGACCTCACTTCTCTGACAGATCTAAGAAGAGTTGTTGATTTTTCAGTTTGTTTGGCTTTTTACTTGTTGTTAGAGTGGTGACTTCTTAAGAGCCTAACATGCTGGACCTGAAACTAAAACTCTTGATGACTTTACTTTTTAAGATGAGTCTGATGATTGGATAGGTTGAGAGTTGGTTTTTAAACTTTAAAAAGTCATGCCACCTTATCTAAAAAAAAACTATGAATTTATAAATTTATAAAAGTAATAAAATTGATAAAGGGGGGCTGTTCTGGTTGAATTGTGTGTGTTAGTGAGGGAGGGAACCAGGGTTTGTCCTCTCAGCCCCTCTCCTTATGACAACCCAAATAGCCTCTTCAGAGCTCCCCGTTTGCAAATCACACTGGTCTTTCCAGCATGAGAACTACCAAATGATCTCTGACAGGTTTTGGAAGGTATGGTGTGAAATCTCTTGGTGCCTGGAGTGCCAGTCAAGTGAAGGAGGAACAGCACTCAAAGGAGCACAGACTTTAGATATCAGTCTTAAAATTGCCACTGGAAAGTGAAGGGGGCAGAAGGGTGATGCAGTTGGAATCAAAGTTAGAAATCTGTTTGCTGGCAAAAAGACCATTTTGCAACTTGCCTTTTTAAAATGACCTTACTCGTGTAGGGTGTTATTTAGTTAACCCAGCCTAAGGGGATGTTTTAAAGATGGAGAATTGCCCTGGTGATGAACAAATATGAGAAATAAACTTCCAGTGGGGCTGGGTTGCCTGCTGACTGTGATTTCCTGATGATCTATAACAATGGTTATTCACTAACAGCTGGCGCATGTCTCCCTCGGACAAAGCCACTGGGAAGCACAGGCGCTCTGATTGGTGAACCAGAACCGTTTCCCTGGTAACAGTTAACTAGCACGTGTTTTATTGTTTCCAACTGCTTTTCCTGGGGTATTTGCAGGTGGTGGGAGATGCTTTCTTAAAGAGGGGTCATAAACTCATGAACTTTCAGATGTTGCAACAAATTGGGGAACAAAACATTTTTCCTTTTTCAAATATATTAAGTAAATCTTATTACATAGCATTTTCAAGACAGATGCAGCCCAACGGTTTTTCCTTTTTGCCATTATTTCCAGATGTTATCAATTTTAAAGTCAGCGTTCCATTTTAAGAACAGGATCTATAGGAAGGTGATATGTAATCAGTAGAGTACTATTTTGCCCTTTTTGGAGGTGTGTTCTGGTTCTACATTTTGCCATAAAATGTGAGATCAAACCATAAAATGTGAGTGTATTTTTAATTGGCCTTTTACTCATTTGTACATTTTGCCTCTTCATTAATTAATTCAATGTTTTTGCCTTTACCGGTCGTTTTCTTTGTCATTTTTAATGTACCAGAAAAATTATAGTGTTTTTATAAAATAAAAGACTAAATAAGACTTGATTATATTAGAATTTTCTTCTATATTTATTTGACGTTTTTGAAAGGCTTGGTTAATTTCCAGATGCATAGCTCCCTCTTCTGTCTGGTTTGTAGAATTCACATCTTTTGAAAGCAGAGATGGAAGATGAAGTGTGTATCACAAAATTCTTTATCTTGGCTGCAGGCTGAATGTAGTTACTATATGAAGAATAACAAATTCATGTATTGGAATATGGAAAGTGCTTCCTTTGTAATAATTTGGTTTAAAATAAAATTGTCTATCTTGCTGTAAATGCTGGCTAAAAGAAAATGAAAACATTTCCTCAAGTTAATATTGAACTTTATCTGCAGACATCCCTGAAAAAAATGCAGGCCTGATCAATCACTTGACTGAACTCTACTTGAAACACTTGGACTTTGGTCAAATAAGCATTTGCCACTTGATTTGTACAGCATTCCAACAAACGTCCAACTCAAGTCTTCTCTTGAGCCTGATCTGCAAGGTTGTTTCTGGTAAGTGTTCTTCATGGGATTGCAAACGTGCACCTACTTATAAATTAGATCAGTGGCATTCAAATACTCTTCTCCAGGAACTCAGAATTTAAAAAAATTTAAAACATTTCTTAAAAAAATATTTTTCCTTTGTTTCCTTGGATCCAATTCAATCACTACACCCAGAATTAGGGTTATGCTCTGAAAGTGAACACAATAAAATCATAACCTAAGCTCATAACCATAGAACCAAAAGAGCTAGTAAAATTATTTATGATAATAAGGATACTTATGTACAGTCCGTGTTTCTAGAGATACAATGACATGATGCATTTTTACTGTGAAGAGGAAAACATTAATTCAGACTCACCCTTCTTGTTTCTCTCAGTGGCAGGGTGAAAGGGGGCGGTGTCACATAACCCTAATTATTTGAATATATATTAAATGAGCACTGTTTGCAACTCTCTGCTTTTGTTGAGGTAGGCATAGCTCAGGGCCCTCTGAAGGAGAAACATTTTACCTCACACACTCCTGTTGGTACCATGTCATTGTATTCGTTCTTTTTAGATTCATTAGAGGAGTACAAATGATATTTTTTATATCAAGGAATAATTTGAATATAGTAAAATGCGAATCAGAAAATTAGTCATTATCAAAATTTGTAGACTTAAGCATATGTTTGAAAATTTTAAATTTCTTTCTTATCTTCAAGTAGGTAAAATAACCAAGTCATAAAGTATTAGATAACAATTCATGTGGAATGAGGGATGCTAGACATCACAGGCTGTAGAACACTCAGTTCAGTCTCTCCTTTCACAGATGAAAAATTAAGCCCAGAAGGGCAGTTGTCTTGTTCAGGGTCCTGCAGCTAGCAGGTGACAGAGCTGTTTTCTCTGGCTGTTATTCAAAAGTGCCCTTTTGCTCAGGCCATGCTCTGTGCAGTGGTCAAAGAGTTCTTCCCTAAGGGTACTTGGCTGTGGCTCCATGAATATGGATTCTGTACTTTCTTCCTTCCTCCAAATGAATAAACTCTGGCCCCATTTCCCAGATTTGCATTCTAGTGACTTACTTCGTGAGTGACTTTGGACTAGTTAACCAAACTCTCTGTGCTTGTTTTCACTTCTACATAATGAGGGTAATAATAGTGCATCTCTCAGAAAGTTAAGATCAGTGTTGTGTGTGGCACAGTGCCTGGTACATAGAAAGCTCTCAATAAGTGTTATCTATTATTTTTATTATTGTAATTTTCTGCCTATTTTTCTCAAGTATTTTCTCCAGTGTGTCTTAATTTATTCTGCAGCATGTAATAATCACATTCTGAAATGACTGAAGGTTGTACACCCATGTGCATAGCAGCCTTATTGACAGTAACCAAAAGGTAGAAGCAAGCCAAGTGTCAAATGGCAGATGAATGGATAAGCAGAATGTGGTGCATATACATAAAATGAAATATTAGTCAGCCCTAAAAAGGAAGGAAATTCTGACACACGCTACAACACTGATGAACTTTGAAAACACTATGCTAAATGAAATAAGCCGCACAGAAAGACAGATACTATAATGATTCCATTTATATGTAAGGTACCTAGACTACACAAATTCATAAAGACAGAAAGTAGAATGGTGTTTGCCATCGGCCTGGAAGAGACGGGAATGGGGGAGGTGTTGTTTATGAGTATAGAGTTTTTGTTTTGTAAGATCAAAACAGTTCTGAAGATTAGCTGCACAATAATGTGAATGTACTTAACACTACTGAACTGTACTTTTAAAAATTATTAAGATGATAAATTTTATGTTACGTGTATTTTACTACAGTTAAAAACAACAACAACAAAATGACTGAAAGGCTTAGTGCACTTAGAACATACTAGTTACATTAGTTAGCCCTGGATATTTTGACTTCTTGGTCCCAGAGCTCTGGGCCAGTGCTGTGGGTTAGAACCAGAAAGGATTTGGTTGGAGACTAAGTATGGTATGTGGTCATAGTACTCAAACATTGTATCTGTTTTAGTTCTATTTCCTTCCTCTAAGATTGCTGATTTCCTGCCAGAGATGGACTTAATTTCCAGAGCCTTATAGTTTATGAACTTGGATGAAAATACAGAAGCACACTTTCCCCATAGACACATGAAGAAACCCTTCAGAGACTCTTCAAAAAATGCAAACACATAAAAAGCAAATTTGATTCAGCAAGTTTGTCATTAACAAAACCTCCTTTGGGGGCAGGGGTGGTGTAGTGATAGTACAGGCTGTTAGAAAGAAGCTTAGAAACTGCCCTGTTGAACAAAGCAAGCTAAAGGCAGACAGAGAAAATGAGAGAAGAAAACTGCATTTTAGTTTAGAGTATTTTTTGAAATTTCTGTTTAATTATCATTATTATCTATAGAGATGATTAGAAGCATCAAACATTTCCAGGATAAAACCCAAGCACAAATGGAAAAGGATTTATGCTAAATTGGCATTTGATAATTTCTTACAATAATCTGATGTAAGAGGTGTCTTCCTTTTATTTCAACTCAAGAATTCCTTTCATCTTTTACTCAATAGTCAATATCCTTTTTATTTCAATTCAATAACATTTACTGAATATCTAATATGTAGTACAGGCCCTGTGTCTCAGAAAAAAACACTGGGGTAGGGTTTTTAAAATAAGTTTTAAAAGAAGATAAATATTTTAAAGCTTAAATTTTTTTTTAAGTTTAATGTTCAAAATACTGAACTATACTGAAAATCATAATAAATGGTCATTCTTCCAAATAAATCATTCTTCCCTTTATGATTGTGGGATTTCTATAAACTAAATATTTGCAGAAGAAGTTTCTTCAACTATATTGTAGGTAGAATGTCATCTTTTCAGATATGCTGGTTGGGAATAATCACTACACTAGTGGAAATGTTTGCTCAAGCCAGCATCGAAAAGAGACAAGAGATTTCCCTTTATCAGCTTCTCAAAAATGACAACTGAAATTCTTAGTATTGGGACAGGACACAAGTCTAAGTCTGTCATTTTTTAAATGCCACATTTTTGAAATAACAATCAGGTGTTTCACTTTAAGTGTATTAAATTTACGTATATCAATATTTAGTATAAATATTGAAATATAATTATTAGTTTATTCAGAAGCAAAACCCCAATCCTAATTTCAGCATCATCTTAATAGAAAGCCTGGGTTTATGAATCCACAGGCTTTTGATTAAAATCCCAAGAGGTCAATAACAATCTTGTAATCACAAAATATGCATAAAGGAGAACATCAGACTTACCAAGAAATATAGCTGTAACAGTGCATGACAAAAGGCACATTTTGGAGACATGATTCAATTTCCTGTTTTTCAGCATCAGGTACTTTATCTGACCATCTGAAGCCTTTAGAAATAGGTGAAAAAAAGGGGTGAGTTTTTAATATTAAGAGCTATGAAAGGTGAAAAACAGGCCTTGACAAACACATCTAAACAGATCCATGTATTTCATAATAGGAACAGTTCTCTTATCATTCTCAATATTTCTAGTTGAATAATTATCCACTACCCCAAGGATTCTTAATAAAAAACATTTTACCCTTTTGAGAGGAAGGCAGCAATGAGTTCATTTTGAAAGGTTCACATTTAGCTTTCAGCCAAAAGTGAACCTTTGGTGTCTTTTGAATCCTTTTTAAGTCTTGAAACCTTAGAGAGAAACCAAAGAGAAAGAGATCAGATCGCGGCCTACCTCTTTCAGCCCTTGAGAATTCCCTTTCCAAGTAGTTTCTTAAATAGTGAGGCTGCATCAGAACCCCCAGTTCTTCTCCTTAGAAGTTATTAAATCAGCAGAAAGACCGACAATAATGGCAAATGAAATCTAAGTTTTGTATAGGAAACAGGCAGGCAGTCTACACTTTGTTATTCACTTGATAGACAGAGCCATTTTGACAGCTCTAACCTTGGAAACCACAGGTCCTGCTGAGCTCAGCAGGAGTCAAACGCTGAGTACCATCTGTCAAAGCTTTATTTTTCCCCCTCCTCATCCACGCCTTTACTATAAGATGCTAACAAGAGCCCTGAATGAAAGTAGCTAACTACAGTTAAACTTATGTGCATTGTAACGCTAATGTTGGGGTAAGAAACTCACTCCCTGAATCTACCAAATTTGAGTGAACAGAATTAGTATTCTATGTCTTTTCTTAATGGTTATCAATGTTGGAAAAATGTGGGTTGAGAAACTCCATAACCACACTCCAAACAACTAATGCTCCAAAATAAGGAAATTGCACATCATCTTGTATGTTTTTGCCAAATTCTGTAGCTAAAATAAATGGTTTGGAAAGTTCTCAACTCTAAGGCCTTTTTTTTTTTTCTTAATGTGATTTAATTAAACATGTGCAAGAATAACAAATTAATTTCTTTCTAAAAAATAGAGATTTTGATGCGTTGAACTTGTGTTTTATAAAATAAATCTCATTCAGAACAAACACTCCCTCTCTCTGGCATAATCAATTCTAAAACATTAACAGGCCTAATAATAATAAAATCAATTAAATCAAGTGTGGTATGGCTCATGCTTCACTTGTGTAGAAGACAGTATATCAATTGAAACATAAAGGAGCTCACAAAGGCATTCCTTTCCACTAAGCACTACCAAAATGCTACATATTTTTTAAAGTACAAATTTATTATGCTTGCATTTAAAATTTTTATATATTTAATGAAAAAATTAGATATCAATTTAAAAATCCTTAATTTGGAATACCATTTTAGGCACACAGTTCCTTAAAAAATGTAGAGAACATTTCCATAAATGCAAATTTAAAAAAAGTAGCTTAGAATTAAAACGCTGAAAAAAGCTGAGCTCTTTTTAGCAGAATTATTCCTAATTTTAATTTTTAGTTATTCTACTTGAAATAGTAATGTTTCGTTTTTTTCTAATCTTTTTCACAATTCTTCCAAATGCTGAAAATAGTTATAAAATATTACTTCATGAGAATACTATATATACGTACTAGATATAACTATACTATAGCAAGTAATTATTTATTGTTTAGTAGTTAATAACATTGTCAAGAAGATACTGTGAGGAAGTATTAATCAATTATTGTATTCATACAAGTGTGTACTTTTTTTTTTTTTACATTTTACTGAATGTTCCATGTGTGCAGATTTTGTAGAGATTTGAGAGACCTTGTGTATAAACACCTGAAATGCTTTATGTGAAATAGTTTTTATAAATCGCACATCCAGAAGGTGATTTTGCTTTTTAAAATGACCAGGTGGTGATTTATTTGCAATGTGAAAACTAGCTAACTCATAAGTAATAGTTTCTGATATCACAAGGTTGAATTTTGTCCATCAGTTTTGCAAGACAACTTCAGTTATATATATGCATGAATGCATCTGAAAGAAGTCTCAATAGGTACTATTTGAGGCTTTGCCCCTTCTCCTAGTTTTCCTCATCTGCCCTTCAGCCCAGGAGAGGCTGAGAAAGGAAGCTGCCTTTGCTGGCAGACAGGGTCCCTGATTGGTAAACACTTCTTCCACCACTGTGCTTATGCCTGAAATCCTTTCTTAAGGGGGCAGGACACAACTTTCACTGCATTGAGAGAAGATTCAAAGGCAAATGCCCCAGGGAGAGGGAACACGTGGATCTAAATTAATCTTGCTGACAGTTACTCTGAAAGCAAAGAGAAGCAAAGGAGAGCAGGAGGGGAGGCACCTCCAGATGGAGAAGGGGCAAAGATGGGGAGGCAAACTTGGTCTTCCTTAAGGTTTTACCTAAGAAGGGCTGCTTGGAGTGTCCATGCGTAGCCTTGCTTTGGATAATGCCTGTGTAGACTTTCTTGATTGTCATTGTCATGCTTTTGATTTTCATAATCTCAGAATCTCAGAGTTGGGGGAATGTTAAGGGTCAGTTAGTCCCAATCCCTCCTTACAGAGATGAAGAAACAGACCCATGGTTTCTTCATGTAAGGCTACCCCATGGTTTATCCAAACCCTGATTTTTTTTTTAAAGCCCCGTCTTTTTGTCTGTAAAATAGGGGTGATCATATTACAGACATCAGAGGATTGAATGAGCAATATTGAAGCCTTTAGTACAAGTCCTGAGCACAGAGCAAGTGCTCAATAATTGTTCATTTTTGTTATCATCCATGGAGTTCAGAGCCAGATTTAGTGACAGTTTATAGTAACTGTATTAGGTCTTGTGGTTACTAATTTGTTTTCATTTCCTGTTCATAAATTTATTCTTGTAGGGAGCTAATAGAAACAATTAACAACTACTGAAAATTTATAAAACAATTACCTATATTCTACTTATCTTGATAAAATATGATGCAGTTTGCAAATATTTTTCTTTTTTTCTAGCTATGTACATTTGTTTACATAGTTGGAATCATAATGTACTACAATTTTATATCCTGCTTCTCCTGTTGACATCATACCAGAATTTTTCATGTGGCTACCAATTCTTGGTGAATATCATTTTAAATGAGTAAATGTCCCATAATTTAATTAGCCATATCTTGATGACAGAGTTTGTTGGTTGCTTTCAGTTTTTCTGTTATAAATAATATTCCGGTGACCATTTTAGTACATATAACATTTTCTTCTTCGGATGTATTTTTTTAGGTTACATTTTCAGAAATTAGATTACAAATTAGATTAGAACTTGTATATTTTTTGTAGTATTTGCTACTTACTGCTAAATCATGGCCCCACTTTTCTATTTTTATTTTATTAACCTTATTTTATAAATGTCCTTTTAAAAATTATTATTATTTTGTAGTTACAGGATCTGGCTATATAGACCAGACTTGTCTTAAACTCTTGACCTCAGGCAATTCTCCCACCTCAGCCTCCCAAATGTTGGGATTATAGGTGTGAGTTACAGTGTCTGGCCTAATGTCTTTGGGCTTCTAATCTGTTTTTTTAAAGATGCAGTTGTTTTCAAAGTCATAGGGATGAGTAATGGCAGAACCAAGACTTGAAGCCCTCTTTTTACTATACCATAATAATAATGCGAACGGGAATAACTTCCCAATGTTAAGATGTGGAGGAATCATCCATTCCTTAGGTACTAGCTGAGGTAGCAGAAAGTGCAGAAATCTAGGAGTTGGGAATTCTGAGTTCGAGTCCTACTACCACTAATAATGAATTGTAACATAGATTCATTGATTCTTGACCATATTTCCTAGTGAGTCTGAGATTTAGAGAATGCCCTGGAGTGCTCTTGAAGCTGTGTAAATCTCTGCATTGGAGAAAGGCAGTGTCTCACTCTCTGAATCCTGAGCACTGAGTTGCTCTAAGAAGCTGTAGCATAGGGCTTCTTAGACATGATCTTGTTACATTCTGGATCTCATTAAATTCTGTTTCAATAGGTTTGGGGTGGGCCTGAAATTTTGCATTATTAAAAAGCTCCCAAGTAATCCTGATGATGATGCTGGCCCAGGGACCACACTTTTAGAAGTAGCCACCCTGAGTGGTTGTTGAGTTTCATGGATGACTGTCCCCATGGTACAGAGCACCCTTAATCACAGAGCAATTTTAATCACTGGATAAAGGATGGGGATTAACAGTAGTCAGCCAGATGCTCCCGAAGTGGTGTCTAACATGCAGGAGTATGTGAATATTGTGACCTGTATGTGGAGGAAGTATTATGTGATCTGTTTCCTCTTTGATGCTAGAGATCCTCTGAACCCAGGAATGTCCCTTTTCCTGAGATGTGGGAGGAAGTGGAAAGCAGCCACCTGGAATAATAGAGTAATATGGAAAAGCACTGGCCTTTTATTATCATTTCCCTTATCCGAACACAAACTCATTCTTATTTTATATTATCAGAGATTCCAACCAAGGTCCCTTAAAAGCTGACCAAGAAAATTTGCCAGAAGCACTTTAGAAGCCATAATGCTTTGTGGCAAATCTTTCCAAACATCTGCTGCGTGAAAAGGAGCAAAAATCCTGCAATGGCTAAGGGCAAGAGGGCAACTTGGAAGTGGAATGTCTTGGCATAGCTCTGTGGACGCCCTTTCTCTGAGCACAGGCGTCCCCCGGAGGCCCCAGCACCTGTTCTTACATATTCCTGCTGGCTTCTGTTGTCTGCAATTGCTGTCAAAAGCGTCCCAGGAGAGGGTCGGGACAAGTCTTGTCAGGGAAAAAGAAAAGCTGGGAGTGTGGCGGTTGGTCTCACAAATGTGAGGATGTACACCATCCCAGTAGGGACTCTCATTTCCCATTTCACATCACCATGTACCTAATGTCAAAAGTAAATCTTTTGAGTTTAGGAACTATGGCAGAGAACAGTCTTTTGAAACTCAGGTGATATCGATAGCCTAGTTTCATTATTCTAAAACTGAAATGCCACGAGTGGGATTTGGAACACAATCATTAGGTCTTCTGGAG